ACCCCCCGCCCCTCCCCCCGTCCCCTCGCGCCTTACTTGTCATTTTCCATAACCTCTCTTCCCTGTTTTCCCAATTCCAAAATAGAAAGACGCAAACAACCTCACTACAATGAAAATATCAGTAACATTGTGCAATGTAATACGATACTCAAAGACAAAAAAAAAAGATTTAAAAATAGAAAAGAAAAAAAGTGCACTGACGACTAAACAAAGCCACTGGAGACAGAAATGACGTTCTTTTTTTCTTCTAAAACCCGCGAGAACGTGACTGACTCCCCTACCCCTCACCTGTTCACAGGTTCCCGCTATTTTCTCGGACCTGGCGAACATCCCTGTGACGTCATTTCCTGGATGTCTCCACATGACCAGTCTGCTTTCTTTTCCGGTTCCATCAGCCAGCTGAAATAAGACACAGACACTAATGGATGTTTCGCTTTAGCTAAGTACAGACAATTTTCACGTTTAGGGCCTTCGTAATGCTACTGGATACTAGTGACAAAAGACCAGAGAAATAAAAAAGAAAAGTACACACTTTAACAAATTAGGTAAGCAAGTTAACCAATATGATCGTAATGCAAAAAAAGGGAGTTCGCGAAATGCATAATCTTTATTCACGAAGTAGTGGTTGAAAATGTACCCTAAACCTTTATGCTGAAATGTTCACTAATAGTGTGTCTAATGCATGAACTAAAAATAAGATAATCTAGTAGGATATAAAGTCAATACCTCTACTAATATTCATTTGCTGTAAAAATGTACCAACAGCGTCTGTGGTGTAGCGGTTAGGCGTTTCACTGTCGCAGACAGAAGACCCGAGGTCGATTTGCAAGGGGTAAGAATATTGTTGTTTTTTCAATCGAGTATCTCGGTCTTTCTGCTGGGATGCTATTACAGTATCCCTGGCAGCCCAGGTTGGCTCCTAAGCCGGCCAACTGAATAATCTACATTGTATAAACACATACCTTTAAAAAGTTATATCTCATTAGAATGTTCACAACTAATATTACTTTACCATTGCGAATAGATTATGATTGCCAGTATCGCCGGTTCCTACAAAAAGAAAACATCTCAGTGACAAAGTTTCTTTAAAACAACGCCAAACGATAAAAGAACCCAAACTATGGATCGATTTTGTTAAACATAACCACGGAAAAAGAAGCCAACAGTTATCTCAAGCTAACCATAGACACGGTCCAACATCTGTAGACTGACTCTGATGGGAGTGTTTGTTGTGTTCTTTATATCTTAAAAAATATTCACTTGCTTTTACGCTTCCATCGGCACAATTTAAATGATTTTAGATCACAGATTTTGATCGTATCCCCCAGGAACAAGCCCAGCTGAGATGGATACATACTACGTCCCTACAGGAAGACCAATGTACTCGATAAATATTTTCCTTTCACTGGAATCAAACCGGGTTCTCCTATAAACGAGAGCAAAGCGTCTAACCCCGAAGCCATAGACACCAATGGACTTTGTTTGGATTTTGCGTCTTGAAGTAAAGTATCTGTTCTCAAAATAACGTATTGATTGTAGTACAGGAAAAACCAAGATATTGATTAAGTAACGGACCAGCAAGGAAGGACACGGTATCTTGGAACGGCTTCGTGATGTAATGGTGAAATTCGTCACAGTTACTTGTAGGATACGGTCTTTTGTTTTTCTTTGAAAGGACGAGGATTTTTCTGAGTATCTCCGTTTTTGTGTGTTGGGACGCCGTATCCCATCCAGTCCGGCTTGGAAGTGGATCGAATATGTCCCGCCTCCCACACAGCCAAATCTGAGTATAAGATAGCAATGGGGAGTCTTTTTTTGTATTTGTAAAAAGTGTCCCACCCATATCAGCTTGATTTTTCTTCAGATAACAGAAGACAATACAAGCGTTTGACTTTTCAAAAACTTCGGTGTCTGGGATTTTATTCCTCCAGTGAATCCCCAGTATATTTCTTAGACGGGAGAAATTAAACTTTTCAGCCTGTTAGCATATTGTGTCTTATACACTGTCTAGGACTGAGATCCACACAAAAGGGTTAGTAATACAAAAGCGGGTTTTTATACTTTATGAGATGTTTATTAGCATTTTGAAATTTTTTCTTCATCTATCGTATTTCTTTCCTTGTCTTTGCTTTAAAGAATCTACGACATCATTAAGAGATTCTAAGAGCTAAAGAAACGTTTAGTTACCTCTATTAACGTGATCATGTTTCATTGTTTTAGAAGCTAGGTCCCTGGCGCATCATTTAGTTACTCTTTTTCGTTTAGTTTTTCAAAAAATTTACAATTAAAACAATTTGAATTTAAGACACCAGATAGTATGTTAAAAGTACACATGTACCTACTTTGAGTTTTGTTATGACAAATTACACAAACTATATCGCAATGCAATATTCCAAACAATACTTGTTTGAGGGTGTATTTATAGACATGGGGTATCACAGAACACCTCATATTACCCTTTCGCCCTATTTCTTCGTCTATGACTAACTGCAATGAGACATTTAGTTATAACAAAAAGAATAATAATAACAACAACAATAATTATAACAACAACAACAACAATAATAATAATAATAATAATAATAATAATAACGATTATTATAATAATAATAATAATATAATAATATTAATAAATAATAATGATACTATTAAGAAGAAGAAGAAGAATGATACTAAAACTACTACTACTACTACTACTACTACTACTACTACTACTACTACTACTACTACTATTAATACTACTACTACTACTACTACTACTACTACTACTAATAATAATAATAATAATAATAATAATAATATTATAAACATAGCGCTCCCCCGGTTACCGAATAAAAGCTTTAGCTGCTTTTATAATTCATTAGCAACACATAAGCAGTACATTGTGGTCCGATTAAAACTCAAGACATGAAAATAGACACAGCTCTAGCTGACTTTTAAAATCAGAATTCAGAGATTTGATCACTCTTAAATTACCAGGACATGTGTTATAGATCTCGGGACTATGGAATGAAAATGCCCTTTCACCAGTTGTTGTAACTTTCATTGATGGTTGAGGGTAAAAGTGATTTCTATAAGTCAGGCGATGACCTTCACAAAGTCTAACAGACTCTGTACCCTTCCCAGTTTTCGTGTAAACCTCTGTGAGTTGGCAACGGCACGACAAGTACCCTCAACAGACTATCCCAACCTTTAAAAGGTATCGTGGGGACTATTTCCATTTTGTTTTCTAATGGACACAAAAAGGTATACACTCGGACCCCTGCGTGGTTGGCCTTTCCTTACAAATTTCAAGAAAGGTGTGGTTGTTTGTTTTGTTTTTTCGGTGGTGTGTTTTTTTTTCAAGGTTCTATCTTGTCGAGCTGAGCACACAGTTGACCTAGCCGAGGAAAGCACGAGTTTAAATCCTTTATCGTGGGCATGTGTATATATGTGTGTGTGTGTGTGTGTGTGTGTGTGTGTGTGTGTGTGTGTGTGTGTGTATGTGTGTTTTCTGTGTAAGCCGCATATTTTCAGTTATTTTCAAAGAGCCGTAAATCTCAGTTCATGTTTAGATGGGTACAAGTACTCTAACAGACTTGGGTGGGAAGTGGACAGTGCTGATAGGTCCCACTTATTTCTTTTCGTCTATTGTTTCGTCTTTTCTTCCTTCATGTACACAATATGACTACTATAATATGTGTCAATATTCTTTTTACTGAAACGGGGGATCTTGTGGTCTGGAGGCCACGGTGTTAATTTCTAATTCAATTGGTGTCTGGTTCGAAACCTAACAGCTAACCGAAAACGTTCTTCTTTATTAATGTTCTACTTTCACATCCTTTACTGCTATCTAACCATGTTCTATCGTCTGCTTTCGTCTCCATATTCTGCCTCCACCCGTCCCCTGGGCTCCTGACTCTTTCTGCAGCCTTTTCACTGCTACTCCTCGGCTCCTTCTGACTGTTGTACTTCAGCCACACCCCTGATCTAGGGTAGGTAAGATCTAACACCTAGCCTTCTCGGATAAGGGCACAAAATTTTTCGAAGATCCCGTGTGCAGGTTTCACATGTTAAAGATCCCTTGGAGGTCTAAAATCGATAAGAGTCGGCTTCGACCGTCACACATGCAAATTTCGAAATTGATTCACTAAACGAAGAATGTTTAATGTGTCCCGTGCGTGCAAATGACCTTATGCAGTTGCGAGAAAGGTAAAACAGTAACCAAAAACACAAATCATGTAACGGGTGTCTAAGAAAAAAAGGCCCACGTAAACGGCAATGACTAAATTACCTTTGAACCAATTTTAATAAAATTTCGCAAAAGAAAAACCCAACCACGAGGACATTATATTTGTATGAAAATAATCAATTGATTTGTTTGAAACATATCACATTTTAGAAACTTCAACCAACATTGACTGAAACGCAAAACTTTGCAACGTCTTGAAAATCAACCATATTGTTTAGTTTCAAATAGTCACTATATGTGCATTGAAGAACACATTATTGATTAATACAAAATTAATATTGCTAAATAAACTCAATAAAGGTGCTTGCTATTTAAATTATATTAGCATGTAGACCATTTCTTTTCGTGCAAGCCTCGAAAATTTTTAATAACTCTGTGGCATGTTTCAGGGTTGATATTTTGGACGTTCTGTTCAACACTGATTTTCAATGTTTCGGTTGTTTGCAAGTTGTTTCCCTATACTCTGTCTGTCAATAAAAAACAACAACAAACAAACAAATAAACAAAAAAGAGGTAATAATTGAAGGAGCTCAGGTTGTGGGTGGGGGGGGGGGGGGGTGGGGGGTGATTGTAATCATTTTTTGGGGTCAAGTTTCAGTTTATAGGAGCTCCCCAAATACTTCTTGCAACCATATCAGGGCCACTCTTGATGTGTGGGTAGTGGTTCCATCCCACTGGAACCAGGCGTGTGCAGCATAATAAATTCTCCTCAAACTTCTACAAAACTTTCTCGGCCCATTTATGTAACCTGAGGTGACTGTAATGGTTTTACCTTTATTGTCCTGAAATCAGAACGGGACGATCAAGCACCTGTAGCTGATCCCTTATAAGAAGTTAAATTTTGCATTTTACCAAATTTTGGTTGAACTTTTTGAAACGTGTTATTTCTCGTACACATTAACTGATTGTCTTCAAATTTACAGCCTTCACGTCCTCGTTGTTGATCAATATGTGCGTGAAATTCGGTTAAAATTATGGATGGTCGAGATATTGTCCTTTAAGAGTGCCCTTATTTCTAAACACTCTGTATTTAGGGCACTGGAAGCCATTTCAGTGCAAACATAAAAAGAGGGGGGGGGGGTGTTTGGGTAATTAAGTTATAATCTGAGCTAGTAATTTCTTTTCTTTTTTTTATTACAAAAATGTCCCGTTTCAGGGCATGATCTTCGCATGAAGAGACCCTTCAGAAGCTCAGTTATCAAAGCACTTAACATTTCACCATTCAATGACAGTTCAGGTGACACCAATCTGCACCACAGGCCTTTCTCTCTTGGGTCAAGCGGGCAAGAAGTTGACTGTTATCTTGAAAGTCTCAAGTGTATTTGACAAACGCACAGTGTGGTTATGAGGTTTGGAAGCTTCCATTTCTCGAACGTGATTCTGTAACACCAAAGTCAAATGTCACATTCCCGGTTTAGCCTGGCATGATCCAGATTTTCCCACACGGAGCATTGCACGAGGAGTAACCGCGCGTTCACACTAAGCACTAAAACGAAGAAAAAAATTTTTACATGCTATAATTTGGGTATTTTTTATCCTTAAATTTTTAAAAATTATATTCCGAATTTTTGACCATTTTGTCTTCTGTGAACTTTTTAAATTCACAATTAAGTCACCCAATGTTATATACATA